GAGGAAGTTTTTACTTAGACATTGATTCTACAGCATATATTTGGCCTAAATGTATTATTTGTTGTTTTTGGAAATTCTAATGGTTATGATTAATTGGTATCAGGATTTTGTGTCATCCAATTCTGTCTTTAATCATACTTGTGATTGACAAATTGGACACCCACTTTGCAATCATCCCATTTTGTTTATCACTCTATGAGTACATACTGAATAGGACTCCACTTGGTCCTATTACCATTATAAATTGTTATGATACATCCAGTTCTTTACTGTACCTGCATGCGTTTAATCGTGCTGCCATGTTCATATTTAATCAGGGACTACAAAAAGAAGTTTGAAGAAAAGAACTTGTGGTATGAGCACAGGTTGATTGATGACATGGTAGCTTATGCTCTCAAGTCTGAAGGTGGCTTTATGTGGGCGTGTAAAAACTATGATGGGGATGTACAGTCAGATTCTGTTGCTCAAGGTAGGATGTGTGTCTGAAGAAACGGCTTCATTTTGTACAATTTATTTTTTGTTAACTCTGTGTTGATAAATTCTAAGGCACCCATGTTGGCCATTAGTCTGACTAAAGTGCCATTCATTGTTGCCAGCTGGCTAGCCAACCAGTCAGTGATAAGTTTAGGCAAAACTCATTTTTGCTGACTTGTTTAATAAATATTATACTCAGTATGGCAGTGTTTAGACCCTTTCCTGTGAATTAATCAGAGTGTAGCTGTTTCACTTTAAGAATTAATTGTGCGCATTGCAGGATTCGGTTCACTCGGTATGATGACCAGTGTTCTGGTGTGTCCTGATGGAAAAACAGTTGAAGCTGAAGCTGCCCATGGAACAGTGACGAGACATTACCGTATGCATCAGCAAGGGAAGGAGACTTCTACGAATCCAGTTGGTAAGATTGTTCAGCAATTCTCACCTGGAGGTTATGATGTTGGAATAGTCAGGCAATTTTACTAGACTGTATCTGGTTCATACTGACCATACTTTGCATCGCTCTGTGATTGGTTAAGAAAACTGTCGTCATTACCTCGACTCTCAACCAATCAGAAGCAAAAATTAAACCAGTCGCAACTAGGTCACCTGTGTTTTCCCGCCTTTGAGGCTGTTTAAGTTGTATTTGATATGAGATCCCAATATTCTTTGAAATTGTGAGAACCTTTTTTCTAACTTTTGATACTACCTTCCCTATTAACTACAGCCACTTCTTACGTGTTTCTGTTACACTTGGTGATTCATTATCTTTTATCCTTTAGCCTCCATCTTTGCATGGACAAGAGGATTGCTTCATAGAGCTAAGCTAGATGGTGAGTGAATTTTTATAAAATAAGCTGAAAACAGGAGCAGATTAGGTGTGAAAACGGCTTGGAAAATGGCATGTTTTGGTCTGAAATAGGGTCCGCTTTAAAAAGACCAGACGGCACAACTCTACTAAGATTTGCGAGGAGGTCTTGGAGCAGAAGGAAAACGGGGGTGGGAGGGGGGGCTGTAACTGGTTGCGGAGTTGTGTACTTTAGCACAGCAGTCAATCGTCTGCGCGTTTGTTAGATATAATCGATTTTTAAGTATCTTAGAGGCGACCCGACATTGTGCTTTCAGACTGGAAACCCTACGAACTAGAAAGTCAAGTTGTTTTAAAAGCGTAAAACTTTTTTGAGAAAGCTCAAAACAAAAGGGTAAACCAGTAGAACACCTGTTACTTAATAAAATGTGTGTGATATTGATAATGAATAACAATGATAACCAACTTAATCTAATGAGGGTAAAAACACGTAAAAACTGATGAACCAGTCGCCCTCTAAGAGTCTCAAATTTTTCTTTTCCCTTCTGCACGAGACCGGTTTTTCCAACTGTCTTCCTATAACCCTTTAACCCTTAAGAGTGACTAGCATGTAATTTCTCCCAACGATATCGCCTCTGAATCAAACATTAAGGTAAGGAGAATAAAGGAAATCGTCTCTATCAAAGGGAGCTCTTGATTTTTAAACAAATTCTCCTTGTCAGCAGTTTAGGAAATGTATAGAGAACAGTTTGGAGAATATATCTAAAGATGTTAGGGTGTAAAGGATTACGAGATTTGCGCGGGAAAATAGCCCCGACAGCCTTGGGCAGCCCAAATTTGCCCGTTTACCCGTTCGCGCTGTGTTGTATGCTATATGCGATTTTACCAGGTAGCTTTTCATTTACGAAAAAAATTATTTTTAAATTTATCAGGTAATGACAATCTTGCCAACTTCTGCCACACTTTGGAGGAGACCTGCATCGCAACAATTGAAGCTGGTCACATGACCAAGGACCTTGCTGGGTGCATAAGGGGATTGCCAAACGTTCAGCGGTCGGACTATCTAAATACTTTTGAATTTCTTGATAAGATAGCCGAAAATCTAGCCGTTAAATTGAAGCAGTCGCCGAGCCATTTGTAACTAGTAAAAGCTATGTCAAAGTAGGCGAAGTTTGGCTTCCTTCATTCAAGCAATATTATGATATGCAAGGATTTTTTTCAGGCAAAGCCAAGTAAAGTATGGTAGTGTTGCAGCAGGTGATCCTTTTACTTACAAATATAAGCCCCCTTCATTTTGGAATGTTACAAAATTTTATTTTAAGCTCAGATAATTTTATCTTTAATTAGAAATTTCAAAAGGTCACCTCTTTCGTTTTCACAGAGACGGGTTCATGGACGATTTCTTTGTCCCAGTCTCTTTGCAAATAAGTATCGTCTTCCCTTACTTTTCCACAATTTCCTCATTACTTTGCCGCCTTTCGGCAAGATGATAGTGTAAAATGGCGGCAAACTTTGAGTAGCTTTTTCAATGTAACCATTTAATTTTGCTAGTGCTAACGTCGTCGACATGCAGCAGTTTAGGTTAGGTAATTTTACTTGCCCTCGTGTTAGGTGAAAAAAGGTCAAAGCGACAATTTATTTAAATCAAATAATTTTTTTATGTAATGAAAAAATACTACAAAATTACTAGAAATTTTGAATGTTCGAAGTGAAGATGTGTTAACTAAATGAATTTTCATCGATTTGGGTTGTATTCGATTTTATATCTGACCACGAAGATGAAATGGTGACAATCAATTTCTTGATGGTAATTTTCAGTTGATTATACAGTCATTTAACACATACGTGATGTGAATCCGTGAAGCTGTGGATAGGCTCAGAAAATTGGAATGTAACCGGGCACGAAAATCAATTAGAATCCGTAAAATTCTTGTTTTAAAGCAAAAGGACATATTTACTGTTTTGTCTAGTAAGTACTTGCTGTTGCACCAATAAGGTAGTCACTTTCATTGTAGCATATGTCTACCCAATTTATATGTTTATCAGCTTTAGCATTGAAGTATGGAACGCTGGAGTACTGGAAGAGGGTAGTCGAAAGAAGCATTCCTAATGAATGGCGCGGAGCGAAAAGATCAAGAGGAACTCTTGCGTATCGGTTCGCTCTCCGCCCTCGCTTATTGGCTTATCATCCTGAAACAGGAATCAGGGCTGTGCACGGGCTAAGACAAGTCGATTTCACCGGATCGTATGCATAAATTTAAACCAGTCGGAAGTTGAGTTATGTCCCGCGAAGCGAGTTATCGTTGTGATTTGCGTTATGTTTACACGTCAACGGCGTAAATAGATGGTTAGTACTTGTTGCTGTATCTTAGCATGATTTTTTTAGTTTTTCAGGCTCTTGATACGACATTTTAAAACGACCATACTTTGTCTCGTGCACAATAAAGATCATACTTATGTTAACTTTTTGTGATCCTTTGTCTTTGTGCTGTGAATGCTTGCTCATCGTTACAAGAGATTTTTACTTTGGGAGGTCTTCCCCTAGGTTCCCCTCTGTTCGTTGCGCACTCTACAGCGATACGCATTTCTTTTTTCATCGTGTGCGCCGCGGTTATTATGAGTTGCAGCGCTTTACCTTTCAATTTTGAAATTATTCAAAGAGTGATTCTACATCCAGTAATGATACAGATAATTTTTTAAGGAAAAGCCTTTGCTCCTCTATGACACAAGAAAAGGATTCTCGGATACAAGAGCGAAAGAAAGTAGTGAACGCAATCAACAGGGACTTTGGAGAAACGGTTGCCTCGCTTTCCAACTTGCTTTGTTGTTTCCCGTTCGCCTTTTTCTGTTTATGGCGAGAGGGGTCTAACGTTTTCCCTTTCTCCCTAGGTAATACGAACCGGATGCTGTGTTCTGATTGGCTATCCAAATTAGGCCACTCATGCCCGCTCGAAATTGCCCGCTTTTATCCCGTGCAAGAAAAACATTGCGTGGAGCGAACTTACAAACTTCGTAAATTTTGGACAGTGTCGGCGATGGAGTCGCAAAAAACGGCTAAAGGTAGTCAGAACAGAGAAGAAATAAACGACTCTTGTGGGTTTATTGCCCTACAAACACAGTTGTCTTTCTTTCCCGGCTCCCGAAATAAATGGTCATTCTTGATTCTTAATAAAGCGAAATATTTTTGCTGTATAATGACCCTTTTTCAGCCAAGCTTGTTCGATCAAGATGGCTGGATATTAGCCTCGCTCTTTTTATAGTTTTAAAGGACCTCGCCCTCGTCTCGGTCCCTAAAAGCGCAAAAAAAGGAACTCGGCCAATATCCAGCCATCTTTACTTCACGCTTTGTCAATAACGCATATAGTCATGGAGTGAATTAATGAAGAACTGTCAAAGCGACCGAATTATAGTGAGAAAGAGAGAATGGGGCGTGAGGAAGGGGGGATCCTGAAGTTATCGTGTGTTTCAAGCTCACTAGACTAAGTGGTCAGTCTAATTCCCCGCGTTGGCATTTGGGGAAGAAACCAAATCAATGGTGAGAGTGGTTTTAGTTATTCTTGTGTTTCTCTCTCACGTCAATGAATCAAAGTGTGTGGCAATTGCTTGTAGAAATACTGAAGAAAACTGAAGCCTAATCACTCTGAATTATACATTCAACCACGTGGCTATGACCTAAATGCAAATTGAGTGAAAAAAAAATATCTTAATTCCTCATCAACAACATGGCTGTCAAAGATGATAACGAGAAGGTACGAGCTGAGAGGATGGTTTCTTACCACTTTTATTTGCAAAGCGAAGAGGACGATTTTGGTGGATTTTTGCCAGTCGAAACTAGTATTGATGAGTTGTACCCTCCCGTGTGTCAGAGCTGTAACAGGGACGAGTGTTGCGTGTTTGGATATTTGATAATATTATTTCTTTTCGGCGGAGCAGCCGCGGGAGTCGGTTTGTTTGTATTCGTTTGGGAATTTTCACAGAATACAAATGAGAGAATTTTCTTGGAGTTATTAACACCTATACTTGGCCTTGTCTTAACGGTTTTCGCCGGAGCAATGTGGGTTTTAGCCACGATCGGCTGTGTTGGCACGATTAAACAAAGCACTAAAGTTCTTCACATGATAACAATAGCTTTTAAAGTTCTTTTGTTGCTCGAGGTAGCCTTGTCTTTCCTAGCGTTTTATTATCAAGGTCAAGTCAAAGCAGAGACAAGTAAATGGGCTGAGTGGATGTCGTTTATTCGCCATTATCACGAAGATCCTAATCTACGAACCACCATGGATTCAATTCAAACACGTCTTGGATGTTGTGGTTTCAATAGTTACAAAGATTGGGATGAAAACGTTTTGTTTTCTTGCTCTTCCACACGTCTGAAAACCTGTCCTCTTCCAGTGTCGTGCTGTAATGACACTGTGAAAAAAATTAAATGTGGGTACGAAATACAAAACGATCCTGACGGCGAAATCACCAAAATACAGCCACAAAAATCAGTTTTCACGGAAGGCTGTTTGATAAATATTCAAAACTGGTATAAATACAATCTGATCCTTATTTCAACGAGCGCCGTTTTATTGGTGGTAGTACAGGCAATTCTTATTTTCGCAATTAGCCGCCTCGTTCGTCGAATTAAAGACGAAAACATGGGAGAATGTTCTGAACCGTCAGGTGAGGAAGAATTAATCCCCTTGCGCGCAGATAACTTACAGGAAAGCATCATTATAGTACGTGATGAACGAGTTACAGCTGAAAGGATTCACAGCCTGAAGGCTGTCTTGAAAACCATAATTCGCTGGAGTGCAAACGATTCCACAAGAGAAGAAAACATTTAAAACAATTGGTCACGGCTGATGCATTTTGAAATAACTAGTGATAATTTAATTTTCACAATTCAATGTAATTTAGTTGAAGAAAACAAAGTCTAAAAAAAATTCAGGCTTCGACGGGATTCAGAGCTGTGTCTTCCAAATATAAGTTATGCGCTTACTCGGCCGCCTGAGCTACGTACGAAGCCGAATTTTAGGAACGAGGTAATACGTTCCCTTTAAAGGAATAAAGGGGGTTACAAAATTTGGTTTCAGCTACTGATGATGTAAATTAGCCGCCATAAAGAGTTTCTAAAGCTGACTTCTAGAGCGTAAGCCCTTCGCCCGCGCGAACACCACAACAAAATTATCTCTCTGACCGTAAGGCCACACGCAAATGAGGCTCCGTAGCTGGGTTGGAAGTCGTACTTGGCTAGTGACAGGTAGAACAGGTTAAATTCATGTCAATAACTGAAATTTTCACCCTTTTTTTCTGCAAATATGCTAATTCCAATAAAGTTATGAGGATCGGTTTGTCGCTTGTGACCTCATTCCCACGTCAATACATAATTCAATTCAGTCATATACCGGCATCGCCTTGGAAATTTAACTCAAAATTTCAAGCTGGTCATATGTAATTTCTGTTTATCTATTCCACACACAACGATCCTTGAGTTAAGTTCAACTACAGCTATGTACAACGTGGATAGTCAAATGAAAACAAAATTGCTCTGTTCTTTGTGATACCATTGAATTCATTTCAAGCAGAAAACGGCGGTTACAAATACCGTTATAGCAGAAGACTGGATCTTCCATTCATTCACAACTGCTTTCAAAAGAATCATCCCATTTCGATCCCATTGTTTCTCGCCTACATCCACTCGCAGAGCTACCGTTACCCTACGTCTGTGAAAAATGCCACAAGTGTTCAGTTACACATTTAGTTTATCCCTCCCAAATGGGCATCCAAGAATGTTTGGATCTAGAGAACAATTCTAACTCTAGCAAACGAGTCGGCTGAGGTACCTCAATCAGCCAGGTAGTCTCACATACCAAGTAATTTAGTGTTAACAACTGGGTTGAGAACGTAAATTAGCCACCGTAAAGGGTAAAAAAGCTGACGTTTCGAGCGTTAGCCCTTCGTCAGAGCGATGGAACACATACCAAGGTTGGTGATCAATACTGTGACAGTAAAAGAGGGCGACGGTCCTTACAAATAAACTGCAATTAAAGAAGCTGCAGCAAGGAAAGTCTGAGCAAGACCCCAGCCTTCACCAGGACTTGAACCTATGCCTTCCACGTGCGATTGCAGCGCTACCGCCGACAAAGGTGTGATCAGGAGGGGAGGAAGGGGGTTCTTTTCACCAGCATAGATAGTAGAGATCCACTGTGACAGGAGACTGTTTTTTTAGCTTTCTGTGTTCCAACCTCGTTTGTTTTACCGTGAAATATGACGTGCGAACCAGAAATATAGATTTCCAGTTACGATGTATTCTTCCCAATGCGTGACGTACATATAGCTTTCAGCTGGAAGAAGTCTAACGTGCTAGCACAAGCGTTGAAACGAGCTGAGGTTCGAAACGGCAAATGAAGCGAGCGCGCAAGAAGTCTGCGAGGGATCTGGCACGAGAAATGAGCACACTCCTTTCAGACATCTCGCATAGGAATCGACAGCGGGTAATCTTATTGTCTTAGTATAAATTCAATATTTGTTCAAATCTTGATATCAATACAGGCTCGTGATTTTGTAGTTGTTTTTGTTTTACAACCGTAAGTTACCCACTCTGCTCATTGTCAATCACGGATTAGTATAAATCTACTTTCATTCCATCACAGATGCTGCAATTTGATTGGCTACGCCACTCACTATCTATTCCGTGATAGACTGAGTAAAAAGAGTAGCTCAAAAGTGTGCAGTTGTTAACGAAATTAAAAAAAAAAAAACGTGGGCCCGTCTTGCTGTTAACTTTTGGACGACTTCGCTCTCATCAATGTACACGCAGTAGAAGTCTCAAGTTCGTAATCCAACTTTTAAATCGAGTATTCATTTTATTGAACACAATTTCTATAATCCATAACTTGTTTATACTTAATCCCATAATTTGTCAGGAACATTGACCACAGTTTCCGCCATACTGAAACCAGTTTTTCACATACTTCAGATTTACTTAAAAAACCCCGCTACCATGTTATTCACATGTCCTTCGAATATATGCACTTTTTAAGAGCTTCAGTTTCCAACGTTCAGCTCGAAAAAGGGAACCAAAGGAGGTGCGGGAGAGAGGAGGGCTTTGGCAATGTTTCGTACGGAAATACACTGGTCCAAAGGCTGGTTAAACTCTGCTAAAAAGGGGAAACTTTCACACACTTCTTCAACCCTTATACATCTCGTAGAAGAATAAAAGAAACTCCTAGGTTACGGCAGAGGAGCAATTATCTGAAGTAATCTCTAAAACATTTTTCCATGGCAAAACAGTCGTGAAACACTTTCAGGCTCGTGATGATAGTTTTCCTCTCTCAACCCTTCTTGAGCCCAAACTCCTCAAGTCCTTCCCCGTTTGTACACCTACGGCTGAAAAACGCACCCTTAAGAAATCTGCGCACAGTCCGCTCGTTTAATAGTTGTCAATTTTTTTTAATATTCCAAACCTAATAATTTATCTTTTTAAAAGGAGTTTTATCATACGATATCTAATTACTAAAAAAATTTAATTATCATCAAAAATTGTTTTAATGAAATCGTATCTGAACGCTGTCAAATGCAGTCGAAAACCCGTCACAAGAAATAATGCAAATTGAAAATACTGAACATGACTAGATTGTGTGATATTTCAAGTAAAAGTTGAATCAATTAATATGAGACCAAAAGCTCTCATGGAGTCATTTTCAACTGAGTGTCGAAAGTCATCCAGGATTGCATTGGTTTTGCTTCACTTCGATCTGTGATTGGTCAAGACAACGCCACTCTCTCAACCAATCAGATGCAAAACTGAAACCAATCACGATGGGGTCGCCCGCGTTTTCCCGCGCTTTAGACAGTTGGGTGTTTTAACTTTGAATCCTCGTTGGCTTTTCAAGCCATTTGTTTTCTTTTTATCGGTCACTGTTAGTGGTTTGTTAGTTTTGGTTTTATGACACCCAATCGAGATGCACTCTAAAATAAGTAATCTCTCTCTACTTTATCGCTTGCGTCCTCAAATGTTATCAAACTAAAACTTCACAATACCTTAGATCTACAAGTAAAAGCGTTTACTACCTAACTCGACAATACATCTTCAACCCTTTGACCACCAAGATCTTAATATCAATTCTCCTTAGTGACTATTATACATTTCTCTACATTTTGGTTCTAAGAATTAGTTGAATAATCAAAGTACTATCTTGAATTGATTATTGCCTGTATTCCCATAACCAATCTTTTTAACAATATATTAAGATTTAAGAAGGAGGTAAGATCTTGGTCAAAGGTGTGAACCGAAGCGTTAAAAAAAAGCGTGACACCAAGAAACCGGTAATTTCTTATAGCCATGGGAGTGGGAGGTTTGGGGAGGGGGGAGTATGGTTGCTGAAAGTTGGATGAGTCAAGACAAAATTTTCCTGATCCTTCCTATAAGGCTCTGTAATATTCTCATGATTTCCCACCCCCCCCCCTTCAATGGCAGTTACTTGACCGATAATTTTCTACATTCTCCCGCCCCCCCCCCCCACTTTGTACTCTGTTGACAACGACTGATCCTCCCTCCATCCCCCCTGCAACCATGTGATCCCCCCCCCCCCCCAAAATCCTAATCCTCCCAAGCGTAGTAATAACTGGTCTCTAACGTGATAAAACCTTACTAAATTTCAAATGGCCATTAACAAAAAGCTAGTCTTTGTCATAAAACTAGGCTATGGAAAAACAATTTTGTTACCATCCTGCAGATGAAACTAACTTTGACAGGAGTGGTTTTTGCTCGAAGAATCACTTTGAAGATGATTGAAGAGTTTTAAAATTGGAACTGGCTTGTTGTGAAATTTGATCATTATAAAAAATATACTGGTATAAATGTTTTTTCTAAGCACTCTCCACTTGTGTTTTCTTCCCATAAGTCAGCTCTGCACCACCACTCAATAACAGATCAATACCAGTTGTAAACGTTGCCTCAGCAGCCAGGTATAAACAGGCTTGACCAGATTCCTCAAGAGTTCCCATGCGACCCAACAACTGTCAGAAAGAAGCAACAAAAAGCAGATTGTGTATGAACCCCTTAACATCCAGAAGTGATTACCATATAACTTCTCCCTTTAATAACCATTATATTATCTGGCATAAAGGTAATGAGAATACTCAAACTTATCAGGTAGAAGTTGTTATCTTGATCTAACACCAAATTCTTGTAACTAAATTACGTGGAAATGTGTTGCAGCTAGAGGGGAGAATTAACAATCAGATCTTGGGAGTTAAAGGGTTAAAGAACCTACCTCATGATCTGTGTATCAAGGAAATTTTAGCAAACAATTTCCAAGATTGTCATTAATAAATTGTGCTCATCCTCTTCATGTTTAAAAATCCTAGTTTCCTTTTAGTTAATCGTGTTTTTTGATGTTTTTCACCTCAGTAAATGATCATTTTAAGGTTTTCTCCATGAAGCTGGAAATTTTCCAAAATATCAGGCTCCTCTTCATTTATTACCTTCAGCCTAACCATTTCACCCCTAAAAGTGATATAACAGGGTTGAGCAGGGAAAGTCCACATTGCAAAGCTCAACATGGCAAAGCTAAATTGTTCAAGAAAGTAAGAAAAGAAAGCTTTAGGTTTAGAATAAGTCTAGAAAAAAATCAGTTTGAGTTACCTGTGCTTCATCGCCATCCTTTTTACTCTTTTCAAAATTTCCTGAACTTCTGGCTAACTGGTCCCACAATGGAGTCCATACATTTCCTGGTGAGACACTGAATTTGAACAGAAACACATCATCTTTTCAAATTCATTTTTGCATGAACTCCATGAGTTAAATTTCTCCCTCATCGCAGTCAGATTATACCAATATTTCCACAATTTCATTTAAGTGTAAATTGAGAATAAATCAACACCATAATTTTTTCCCTTTTTTTTCTTTTATAGTGTTAGCTTTATAAGACATTGTAAATATTACTAACACTAATATTGTATTACCTGCTTTTCTTTGATATATCAGTAGCTCCCTTTAAGTATTATTAAACATTTAGTTTTCCTAAAGCTAAGCTGCAAAATCTCTGTTGCATGTACTGTATGTATCATTTTACATGCAAGGAGAATATCTATTAAAAAAATGCAACTGACCAGATTGGAGATACGTTTAGTTCAGTGCTAAAAACAAAATCCTGCAAAGTATTTATTTTGCTTTCCTTACCTTAAAAATTGGTTGGAAAACTTAACCCCTTTCTTATAACCTATTACTAAATGTCATCTACATGATTGTGTTTACTTTTAAATTCTCATTCATTTCGCTTGATATTCCATTCACATCTACTATTGTTAAATGTATTTAATCATTCTGATTGCCTCTGCAGTCAATTTAACTCTGTATCAATTAACAACACTCAATCAAAAAGCATACTATTTCAATGAGGTAAGTGTTGTCTAATTTGGTTTGGAATGTTTCATCTAGTGGTTCAGAATGTTTCAGAATGCTACATGTTGATCTGCACTCCATGTATTGCCACATCAACTTCTAGAGCTCTGATCATTGATTTATAACTCTCAGTCAAATAGCACTCTGTTTTCTGGTGAGTGCAAATATTACCTCACTTCGTTAAAAATGTTTCAGTACCTGTTGACTCGCACTCCATGTTTTGCCTCATCAACTGCTAGAGCTCTGGTCATTGAAGTAATGGCACCCTATGAAAAAGCATTCAAAATAATGTCTTGATTTTATCTGCTTAGTGCACACTGCGGGGATTTGAAACAGACTAAACTCCTTGAAAACAATTTAAGTATGACTGAACAAAGGTAATAGTACCATTTTTGTCAGTTTTCTTTAAAAGCACAAAGTTAACGCTAACCTGGGAAATGTCTCAGTTGATAACAGAGTTGGCTGCTACAGCACAAAATTGCCCTAATTTTATTTCATTTTATAATTAATTATGTTTTTGACTTACTTCTTTTCTAAGGAAAGAGCAGTGAAACTTGTTTATATTTACCATTTAATATATCATCAATATAATATACATGTAGTATCATTAATATGCAACTTCTCTCTATGATAATCCATAAATTATTCAGCAAACAGGTAATGAGAATACCCAAACTGATCAGATAGAAGTTGTTATCATAATCTAACATCAAATTCTCACAACTAATTGACAAGAAAATGTGTCAGGGCTAGGAGGGAGACTTAACAATCAGATCTTAGGAGTTATAGGCTAAGTGTTTGGACTAATCATAAGATGCTAGTTATTACAACTCAGGTCATTCTCCCTAAACACAAACCTCACCTAATAGAATATGCATCACACTTTTCCATGACAAGAGGTAGTTTTTTTTCCTAAACATTGCATTTACCTTGCTTGCTACATATGCCACAGCACCAGGCTGACCAATCTGTGCCACTAAACTAGAAACATTGATGATGCTCCCTTTTGTTTTGCGTAGATGAGGCAGAGCAAACTAAAATGGCAAAATTTAACACAGAGTCACAAAGTACAATGTAAACAGGACCCAAAATTTATACCATCACAATGTTTACTACATGCCACTCTTATGAATGAACTGTACCCACTACAAAAGAAGGCTACATAATGCTTTACAACCTGGCTCTGTCCCTAATTACAACATTTGACTTTATGTCTCTTGGCTAACACTTACCTTGCAAAAGATGAAATAATTCACAAGGTTAAGATTTAGCAGATTTTTAAACTCATCAACTGTGGTGTGATCCACTGTTTTTCCCTCCGGAGGATCTATCAAGAAATTCAAATTGTCTAATGAAGATTCAATATGAGTGATTCAATTATGGCATATCAAATAGGCCATGGAAAAACTTCTACAGAGCAATTAAACTGTTACTCTGCCTGGATTTTCTTCATCTTACTATTTTAAGGAACCAGTGCTAGGAAGGACTTCTTCTAGGATATTGTAATAACACCTCTCATAATCTGCTTCATTCATATGCTACATTCTATTTTTTGATAAACAATCAGACGTCACAGTTTTATGAACTTACGCCATCCTGCATTGTTGATGAGGCAATCAATACAGCCATACTTTTCCACAGTCTTATCTACCAAATTCTATAAAGTAAAAAGCAAATTCAATGAAGCCCAAAAGCCTATAGGACCAGACCATCCTCATTAATGTACTCAAAAGACCTGGAACATTTAGGGCCTGCTTCTCATTAACAACACAAGGTTAACAAAAACACAAAATCCACTAATGTTTGGTAGAGGTTAGTTCTAATTAATTAGTTGATAAGCAACTAACTTAAATAGACCCATCTCAATTAAAATCATACAATGACAGATAGGTTTTAAACGGATCCAACATACCTTAATATCTTCTTCTTTACTAACATCACATTTAATAAAGTACCCTTCTCCTGGACCCTTCTCAGTGACATCTTTTTCCAGTTTTTTTCCATCCTCAACTAAAATCATGTAAAAAAAAACAAAAATTGATTTGTGATTCAATTCTGAGTTCAATTTAATGAGCATTAATATCATTTTTAATTTGGTCACTAAAATCAATTTAGGATTGACCTACAGATGAAAAGTGCATTTTTCAATTTTCACCGATTAATTATTAACCCTTTAACTCCCAGAAGTGATTAACATAAAACTTCTCCCTACAATATCCATAACATTATTCAGCAAACAGGTAATGAGAATATTCAAACTCATCAGGTAGAAGCTGCTATTTTGATCTAGCACCAAGTTCTCATAACTAATTTACAAGGAAATGTGTGGCAGCTAGGGGGGGAGAATTAACAATTAGATCTTAGAGTTAAAGGGTTGATGATAATTTTGACCAGAACACCCCAGGCCCATTATTTTGGCCCACATGAGTTTTTTCTTGCCTCAATTTCTGATCATTTTGCCACTTACAGATCATATTCAAGACAAATAAGGCCACATTGTAAGAGCTGGAAAGAGAGAAAGTTGTGTGGAGGATTTGCAAGTTTATTTTTTCCTTCTATATGTGAATCCAACTAATTCAGCAAATAACATAAGATTTTAAAGAAAGGTGTTTTTCGTCTTGTCATAAGTAGGGGACAAAATAATAGACCTCACTCACTGTGGAGTCTCTGTGGCTCAGTGGTAGAGCATCAGAGTGTGGAATCTGAAGGTCTGAGGTTTGCTTCCTCACGAGGACTCAGAATTTTTTCTTAGTCCCATGCTTGTGACAGGATGAAAAACATCTTTCTTTATTTCTTTACTGAGCTCAAAACTTACCATCTCTCTTATTTTTATCAACATAAGGGTTTGACCTTTAACTATGAACTAGGTTACCATTGAAAAGGTTATGAATGAGAAATGTCACATAAAATTTGAATTTTTGAGTTCACAATTTTTTTTAAGGAGTATCTGTGAACTAGCTGAAGTAGCAAGCTGTTGATCTGGTTTGAAATCTGCTGAAGTCGGATACAGCTGTAGCCATAAGTATTTATTGTACACACAACAACAGAGTTACTACTTACCACCTCTTGCACAGAAGACCACTTTGGCACCAGCTTTCACTAGAGATATGAAAAATCATTTGAAATAAATCATACATCACTGTGCAAATACTGGGGTATGTGCTCTTTTTGAGCTGGTAAATTTTTAAACCCGCTGACTGGGTGTATCCTATTGACTCTCTAACGTCCATTATCACTGTAGACGTCATTTGTTGATTTTGTTGCCACAGCCAGGTCACATGATACTCTTTGCAGAACAGTTGTGCATCCGCCCAAAACGCAGAAAATAATATCTGCAAATTTGAAAGCCCCAATCTGCTAGAGTGCTGCAAGGCGGTCTAAAAGTGAAAAGCCAAAAGAGGCTATCATCTAGTCTTCACTATGCCGAAATAAATTCCAGTGTGGAAATTTATATATTCAGTCTCATCCGGTAAAATCACTAATTCTAACGCTAGAAATTTTCTCCAATTTTTAGGCGTCACCGTGACACCTCTACTAGTAGCTGCAGTCATTTACTTTTAATTGCAACCGCATTCAAGCAATTTACGTAAATTCTACAGAGCAACTGCTTCAACGAAGGTAACAACACCCCTCTAAGAATAACGAGGGGTGAATTTTTACCAAATTCTCTCACAATTCCTTCCCCAATTCCCTTGGAGCCTCCGGTAACGATGGCCACTTTTCCACCGTAACGCAGATTCGGTGCTACCCCATCCGCCATATTTCAGTTTCGTTGGAAAATTCTTAACAGAAGGCGAAAAGCATGAAGTAGATCCGTCTTCACTCAGCGTCCTACTGCTTCGCAGTCACGGAAGTTCAACAAGTTCTAGAACCAAGCTCTTCGAATGCGAGGCTCTGGGGAGAGTACACACCTCGGGATGTATTGTGGGATTTATTTTATCTAACCGCTGACTATGTGCAGATTCACTGAATGTTAAAGAGCTCGTTGCAATCTTGTCTGATACGGTCATGGCAACCTTCAAGGTTTTAGTTCCTTGTATTTTCCTTCTAATATATTTCACATCGTCAGCTTATGGCTTTATCGAGGGGCTCTACTGTGGAACAGAAAACTGTTACGACGGTATGAATTTGTTTTGGTTAAATTTGTTGGCAAACGAAGACGATCAACTACAGTCAATGCTGGTGTCGATTTCAAGTTTACGTGTTACTTGTATGTACTCCTATTTGTTAACGCATCTCTCTTTTTGTATTTGGATTATAGTGCTCGGAGTCTACAGAGAATCTTCAAAGGTAATCTATAACAGATGTAGATAATGTGTCTTCATAAATGAGAAATTTGCGTTCACTTACAATACTACACGATTGCGTGTGTGTGAAAAATTAAAAAAAAAATCACTTCAAATTTAATCTTGTTTAAAGAACGGTTTCGTGGGTTGCCACATGTGCAGATGTGGAATGTAAACAAACCAACGTTATTTTGATCCAATAGAAAGCTTCATTTAAATATCTTGCTGAAAAAAATAATTCAAAAGTAAATGATACTTTTATAACATTTTGTCATTATAACTTCCCCTCAGATACAGCAGACCATTTTTATTCGTGTGTCTATATATCTTGTAACTCCCTTGAAATCAGCTCGTCTTTGTTATTCTGTGATTGTTCTTTCGTTGTTTTACGTCAGCAATTTGTTCTCTGAGTGATAATTTAAAGCCTAAATCCTCAACATTAGGAAGAGCTCACTCATACAAAACACAGTTCAATAGGTTTTTAGGTGTTGAATTATCTACTAATTGACCTTAAATCATAAGGTTCAATATAGCGGTTAACAAAAGCATGAATAAATTATAAGGAGCCTTTGGGAAAATTTGAATGTTCTTTTATTGTTCCAAATCCAGTGTATTTCTTATGTCACATAGCAAGACCTTGATTTAACTTTAAAATGCCAGCAAGAAAACCATTCTTAAAAGTATTTTCAATTGGTATATTGGTTTCAGCTGAAACAAGCAAAAACAGATTCATAACAGTTGTGGAAGTCTGATAACAATTCATAACAGTTCCCAACCATTATAGTAATTTATTTTGATTTTCTTTTCTCTGTTAAATCACTTTGATTCTGACTTATCCAACTTTGTCCACCTTCCCAACAAACCTCTGAAACATATCTTATAGTTCCACTCCAGTGGTCAGGAGTCACTCAGGCTAACCAAGAAAAGGGTCTATCCTTGAAACTTATTAAGACTCATTAACTTTACCTCTACGATGATTCTGTTGGTTAGTTGGCTTGTGATAGTCTTCAATCCTTTACTTAAAAAACTATATGTAAAACTTCAGAGAATTAAGTACTATACAACATGATATACTCCAGCTGACAAGTATTATCCTACCATATTTGCTGGAAATGGTTTGAAATTGTCATGTACATGGTGATCACAATTTGTTTTTTTTTACAGGCTGACATTGCCAAAGCATACAGAAAACTTGCCAGAAAGTACCATCCTGATAGATACAAGGTACATATACATATACTTTACAAAATGTGATGATAAGTGATGAGAAGAAAGTAAATTATCAATCAGGGGAAGATAAGCTGACCAATACCAAATACTCCAAACTAATATCACAAGAATTGTATGGTAGACACAAGGGAGAATTACTACAGAGATCTTGTGATTGAATGGATTAAACTGTCCATTCTTGAGACATATCTCTAACATATACATGTTTATTTACACTGAACATTGATTATATTGCTAAAATTATTCCAAGTTTGGGCAGGTCTGATATTACCATCAGAGCTTCATTTATACTGTTGGAGCTGGGATTTGAACCTTGGAAATGAAATAGTTATTTAATTAATAATTGAAAAAAACAGGGGTGTTACTTTTAACTGGTGAACAGAAAGTGATTCTGAAATAGTTTAATTTGTTTTATTCTCTCTTGCTCCAGGCCCTTTATCATAATTCTCAAACATTCAATTATTTAATCTACTCACATAACAGGAATTTTTCTTCATTTTGTGTTTTGCATCTTCCTCAAAATTTTTATTGGGCTTAGAAGGCAATACTTGTGCACAGTGTAAAGAAACTAATCCTCTACAGTCAGCTTTTGTATGTTGCCTCTTATTCAACAGTTTGATTTCTGATGTTAACCTTTGTCAAATAAATGCTACTAGCATTGAATTCAGTGTCAAGCTTTTGAATTATTCTGACAACTGTGTTATTTTTCTGTATTCCTATTTAGGGAGAAGATGCTGAAACCAAATTTCAACTTATTGCAACAGCTTATGAGGTTAGAAATGTTTATCCCAGAAAAATTTATGGGTACATTCAAGGTTCAGTAATTTATATATTAAGTTCACTGGCATGGTCAACCTCTTGTCTAATGAATACTAGGGAATGAAACCAAAGGATTGTGCTTCCAAAATTGTAGATGCACTGTGTATTTCATAAGCTAAATGATTAATAAACACAACTAGACTTGATGACAAGTGTGTAGTAACAAAAACACTTGTGAAACAATATCTTATTTAGGTGCTTGTATGGTCTATTTTATTATTCATTGGTATTTTGTGATATACCATCATTGTTAGTTGTGATTCAATGTAAATGTGGTTAAATTTTTGGACCCTGAGAGTGTATGCTTATTCAAGCTGGGTGCTTATTGAATTTTCACCATTTTCAGCTAGTAGTAACTCTATGTTGCAATGTTCAGAGCAATAAATGATAACAAAATGTTAAGATGTACCATAGAGAGTAATTTCAGAAATTGTAAGGGGAGGAATGGAAGGGATTTGGAGGGAGACTGGGTTCTTATTAACTTTTCCTACCTACTGGGTGGGCCCTTATTCAAGGTTGGGTGTCCAATCAAAGAAATCCAGTATACCATTGCTTATTGTTTGTGTACTCTTTTGTATCATTATTGTTGAGGCTTCTTGTAAATTTTGTTTGATTAGGGAGTCTTGGAATGTTCATCATAAGGTCAAGCAATTTGCACATGCCTTTCATCTGTTAACCAGAAAGCTTAGCCCAGGGTACATTATCCTTCAAGTTTATCAGGTTTAAGAACAGTCTATGGGTCCAAGTTTGGTCTGTTAACCTTGCCAAGAACTTCTACCCCTGCCAAACTCATTGTTAGATCTGATAATATTTTGTTTCACTTACTGTTGATAACATTGTGTATGAATGTTCAATGATTCCAGGTTTTGAAGGATGATGAACAAAGAGCTGACTATGACTATATGTTGGACAATCCAGGTTAGGCAGTGTGAATGATACTTGAATTAGTACTGTTCTGCCCTTAACACCCTTAAAGTGACTAGTATCTAATTTCTCCTTTCAATGTTCATCCCAAAATCACCCATTATGGACACAAGAGTTAAAGGAAATGATCACCAAATAAAGAAGCTCTTGATTGTTGAAAAAACTCTTTGTTAAAGCACCTTTGGAAATGTACATTCTGTGACTGTGTTGAAAACAGTACAGAGAATATGCATACTGTTGTTGGGGTGTAAAGAATCAACTCTTGAATTTACATTGTAGCTGAAGATAACCATTGCATGTGCCTTAAGCTAATGTATTTAAAAAAAGATTCCAAGCTTTCATGGATTCACACTGATGATACCTTGGATCAGTGAGAGCTCAGAAGATTATTTTTCAGAACAGCTAGCTTGAGGCCTCACTCAAAACCATGATGTGATAGCTGAACATCTTGATATGATTCAAGAATTTTGAAATGATTACAAACATTTAATACAATTTTCCTGTGTTGATGTTATTACTATTAAATTTTATTGTCTTTATTTAACAGAGGAGACCTATGGCCATTATTATCGGTACTACAGAAGACAGGTGGCTCCAAAAGTGGACGTGAGAGTTGTTATAGCTGTGTCAATCACTGTTGTCTCATTGCTCCAGGTAGTAAAGAATAACATATTATTTTGTAAAATATCCTTATACCCTACTTAATCAATTCTCATTTTCAAATTTAGGTCACTCATAGTCATCTTTTGATAGCTAATTTCTGGCCTCTGAGGCCAATGCTCTTTCATGAAATAGTTTGAAATGGGTGTAACCAGTAAGCTGTGGGAAAAACGCAAAGGGGATTTGAACGTACAAATTTGAAGTCATTTTGTAGCTAATTTAAGACTGAGTGTAACCTGTAAAGTCTGGCATTGAAACAGAAGGGGAGAAGGAAACTTCTTAAATGTCAACTTTTTATTGGTTTTCTATTACAGTTATCTTTACAATTTCACCTCCTCTCTTTTGTTTCAATGTTACCTTCAATGTTTCCTGTAACTCATTAACCCTTTCACTCCCACAAGTGACCAAGACAGAATTTCTCCTTACAATGTCAATACAATATCAAGCAGGCAGGTGATGAGAATAGAGAAGAATATCAATCATGGGATTATTAGTTGATCCAATACCAAATTCTCTGAACTAACATCATAAGAATTGTATGGCAGATAGTAAGGAGAATTACTAATTAGATCTTGGGAGTGACAGGGTTAACTAGTATCCTATTTCTCCTCCAATATCACACCCAAATCAAACACTAAGGTCATGAGGATAAAGGAAATGATAACCAACTAAGGAAACTCTTGACTGTTAAATATATTCTCCTTGTCAACGCCTTAAAAAATGTATAGAGAACAGTATGGAGAATATGCATTTGATACTGATAGGTTAACAAATAGCTGATAGTTTCTGATCACATTGATTTGCAAGAGGGTAGGCTTTCTTACAATTGATATGAGATTAATTAGATGATTTCTGTATAGTAAATTATGTAAAGAATTAGCCATGGTACCACCTATTTAGGAGAAGCAATCAGATTATTTTTCTACTCATAGTTGATACTTAGCTTGTATCAGCAATGGTGATGTTTTGAGGTTCTTTGTTTACAGTATCTTCATGGATGGTCACGCTACAATGAAGCTGTCAAATATGCATTAACAATGCCCAAATACAGAAACAAGGTACAGTCAATGTATTCTTTGCAATGCACTCCCATGCAGTGATTCCGCCATTTGCTTGGAAGCTACTTTCCCTGACAAGGTTTATCACTAGGAATGGTTCACTAGAATTCAAGGTGTTATCCATGTGGATATACATTGTGAGCCTATGAAAATCAGGCCAGATGTCTTTACAGCTTGTTCTATGAGAGAAATTTTTCCTGTCAGTGACGTTTGTGTTCAGATGTCCATTCTCATAATCTGCCAACTTTTATGCTGCCTTATTTTGCTCTCCCTCTGGAAGAGATCTTTGATCATTGGTCACAATATGTTTTAGTTTCAAAGGAGACAAGAAAATGAAAATGTTGTTAATTAAACCCTTTGAACCCTTACAGTGACTAACATGTAATTTCTCATTACAATATCACCTCTGAATCTCACATTAAGATCACAAGAATAACGGAAATGATCATCAAATTCTCCTTGTCAGCACCTTAATCCTTTACACCCCAACATCAGTATACATTTTCTCCACACTGTTCTCTATACATTTCCTATGGTACTGACAAGGAGAATTTGTTTAACAATCAAGAGCTTCTTTAGTTGGTGATCATTTCCTTTATTCTCATGACCCCAATGTTTGTTTTAGGGGTGATATTGTAAGGAGAAAGTTGTTAGTAATCACTCTTAAGGGTTAAAGGGTTAAGAAATGTGTAGAGATCAGAATAGAGGATATGCATACTGATGGTTGAGTGTAAAGGGTTAATTCTTAATTTCTACAAGCCCGTTGCAGGTGTTCAGGTAGTAAAACAGAGTGAAAACATAGCAGTAGGGTGAAAAGTGGAGGAGGCTTGGGTTGAGGTTGACCCAAACCCTTCCTTGCTTTTACTCGGCTTCATTTTACTTACTGGAGGCCCGGAACAGGCTTAATGTCTACATACACATACATCCATGTACTTTTAATAACTGCTAATACACAATTTATTGACTGCTTAATTTAACCCAGAATAATATCTTAAAATTGAATGTTCTCTTTTTTCCAACAAAGGCCATGCAAAGGGCAAGAGAAGAAGGTCTTCTTAATAACCTGAAAAAAGGCAAGAAATCCAAGGTAAGCATAACTTCTAAGGTTTTGAATGTTACATGTACAAATCTGATCCAGAATTCTTGTGGTATCTCCACCACAGACAGTAATCATTTGGCTTCTTGTTGATTATTTAAAACCAATACAAAGAGGTTGCATACATGTACATACTGTGTGCATAACATTGACATAGTCATTGAAAAAAATCTGGATAAGTGCTATTCATTCTTCAAGAAACTTGGCCTGGGTCTGTATACATACACTGTGTGGTTTACACAATACAGAACACACCATTTCAGCAGACTTTCAGTCACTAAACATGGTCAACACTATTTTACTCACAGGAAGAATTCCGTGAAGAAGAGGAGTCAATTCTAAGGGGGGTAGTGGAGAATTCTTTGGACATAAGGTTTGTCCCAATTCTTGAAATTTAGCTCTCTCGTTTAACTTTCACAACCAGTACTCTAGTTAATTACTGCATCTTTTAAGAATTTGTTGTTTTGAAGGAGCTGTCTCAAGATGTACTCATTAGCAGTGATTTCAATGCTTTTGTTTTGTGTTTGTTATGATAATTATCAGTTCTCTCTGATTCCTTGCTTTTTGTTTTTTTTAGGGGAGGTCACAGCAAGCCCAGAATAGCTGATGTTCTGTGGATCAGGATTGTCCTTCTGTAAGCTCCATCCCTTCTATTACGACCAAAGATTTAAGTCAATTCCTCCCTTCCGATTTTTTCAGATATCCTTGATAACTATTTAAGAAAACATAGGTATCACACTGTGCTTCTTGTGTGTTCTTACCGCATTTTGACGTCATCCGTAATCTATTTCCGTACAAACCCACAGCAACATGGAATCTATTTCTTTTATATTATGAAAAAGCAAAAACTTGTCGATGGTGACGTTATCCATGCCTCTGTCCTCCAAAGTACATGAAGGAACCAGTCAAAGTACATGTAAAACTTCCCTAATCATATGATTTCCTTATTTAAGATTTAACCCTTTACACTCTTAACATCAGTATGCATGTTCTCCACACTGTTCTTTACACATTTCCTAAGGCGCTGACAAGGAGAATTTGTTTGCCAATCAAAAGGTTCCTTCCCTGGTGACCATTTCCTTTATTCTCATGACCTTAACGAGTGATTCAGGGCTGATATTGTAGGGAGAAATTACATGCTAGTCACTCTAAGGGTTTAAAGGGTTAAAGTACGTAGATTTGTCTTGTTCCTTGTTAGTGAAATTAGTTTCCATTTGTTAAAATGCTGTTTTCTTGTTTGCATTACGTTTTTTAGTCCTTACACAATTTTGAGTTACTTTGCCTGGCTGATACACTGGTATTGGAAGTTTAACATCAAACGAGAGGAGTATGGGGACAAGGAAAAGGCATACCTTATTAGGAAAAAGTTGGGATTAACCTCTGTCCAATGGGATGCGATGGAGCCGGTGCAGAAAGATGTTTTCTTTTCAAGACAGTTGTGGATTGACGCAAACTTTCGGGTGGGTGTATTATTTTATGGGGAAACGTTTTCTCTGATCGAGTTTGCAGAATGTGAGCAAGCTTGGTCGTTAACCCTTTAACACCCAGAAGTGATTAACTGGTAATTTCTTCCTATGATATCCATACATTATCCAGCCAACATGTAATGAGGATATTCAAACTTATCAGGTAGAGTTGGTGGTCCTGATGTAACATAAATTCTTGTGACTTATTTACAAAGAAATGTGTAGCAGCTAGAGGGGAAAGTTAACAATCGGATCCTGGGAGTTCAAGTGTTAACTGTGCAAAATCGGGCAGTTTAGGACTGCTTTCGATTGAAAGTGAATTAGTTATAGACTACCTATCGTTCTGTTTTCGTTTTCAATGAGGTGTAGTTATGGATTAACTGTACTTCACTCTGTGATTGGTGGAGAAACTCGCGCCAATCTCCCAACCGATCAGATGCGCAAATTAAATCCAATCGCGACTGGTCACTTGCGTTTTCCCGCCTTTCAAGCAGTTTTGTTGTTTTCACTTTACGCTCTTATTGGCCCATTGTGATATGTAGTTTGCTGTGATGAGCCGTAGCCTGCGTTGCTGGCGGTTTGCGATTTTGGGTCCCCAAAATCGCAGACCGCTAGCAACGCAGGCTATGATGAGCTGCTGCTGTGGTTACGGCACTTTGCTATGTGATTGGCTTAAACCAAAACCTTGCGTCACAGTGTAAACCAATAGCGACCTACTTGAACGCGTTTTCTTGCGCTCCAGGCCAGTAATTTGTTTCTCATTTCGTCGCTTCAAAAATGGTTACATCTACGATCGTGGAATATTCGAGTTATTTTTACTTATTGACACTTGTTGACGAAACAAAATAGTGAACGTCCACGGTCGTTAGTAATCTGCTCGCCAAATGTGTTGCAACTCATTTTTCCGATACCTCCAGTATTTTTCCAAAGTAAGTAATGGTAATAGGACTAATTCGTGTCCAATTCGGTCAGTAATCATACGAGTGATAACAAAATCGGACGACCACGCAGCAGGATTCCGATTTTTTTATCACCAGTATAATTACAGATCGAATTGGACGACACAAAATCTTATTACCAATTAATCATAAAAAGTATAATTTCCGAGAAAAGAAGAATAGCCAAGTTATGAAAGAAACCCAAAGGATAAGCAAAATCGCTGCTGTCCTCTAAAATATTGACATTGTTCAAGGGGAAAAAAATTCTCCATTTTGAAAAAAGCGCCAATTGAGGAGTCTGTACACTGCCTCTGCTTCTGGTGCTGAAGTGGAGCTTCTGGCGTGTAAGGTTCAATCGAACAAATATGGAACTGACAGCATTCATCTCTGTTCTCTGTTGTAGGAATTTAAAAAAGAACAAGAAGAGGAAATGAGGGTTAAACTTGCTCAAAACAACAAATACAAAGCTTACAGGTATTGTTGTTCGTCAGTTAAGTAATCAGGCAAAATTCAATAATTTCATACTTCAATGTGCTATATTGTGTAGCTCGTGAATGGGCTGTTTCTAAGATTGTCGAAAGCCTCAGTTTTACTGAAACGAGGCCAAGTATTCCTATGCAAGCAAATGCAATCACAGGTTTCGCACCTGCCCTCATTTTGAAAGTGGGGCTGCCCGCCCCGCCAATTAAAGAACTCGTCCATCACTGTTCGTTCTGCGTCGAAAATTTAGCCTACTTTTTGAATAATTTTCCTTTGCAATCCGCGTCAATTCTCACCATTCTAAAACACCATAGCTCCTTTCTGAATTACTATTAACTCTTAAGTGTTTCTCTACTATGGTACAGCTTTAGATTCGTTTAGTACCGAATAGTAATGTTCAGTATTGTTTCCCAGCTTCGTAACCGTTTTACTCCCAATATCTCAACATCAATCTCCTCTTTTGTCTGCTTGGCATCTTGAACAATTTTATATCTGAGAGTGTAATGTTAAATCCAACAGTATCTCTTAGTCAAATTTTTTTCTTTATTATCAACACCTTTCTGCGCGACAATGTGCTGATAATGTGACGAAAAGTTCCCTTTTGATCACTCTTGGAGTCAGTAAGGAGGTAGTTTTGCACCATGAGTACTGAGTAAATGGTAATGTGAAACTGCTTTGATAAATTTATTTCATCTCGCTGAATCTTGTTCTCGTACTTCCAGACGCTACATGAAGAAAGGCGGACCTGGGCAGATGACCTTTATCGAAGATGATTAGATACATGTCATACGACATAAATACACAGATTATGTAATTTTCTTATTTAATGACGGCAGAAATGGTTTTGGTGATGATAGTTACTGAGCCAAATACGTTATTTTGCTGTGGTAGGTACTCTTCTGTAAGACTTAATGCAAATTTAGTCCTTTAAATGGCACAATAAAGAATAAACTTTGCTGTTTTACATCGTTTTTTTGCGCGCTTCGTGCTTGGGCCATAAATCCGGAAAAAAAATCGGTCCATAACTTCAAGTACAGACTTCGAGCTTAGTTAATAAGAGGTCGGTTAGAAGGGGTGAGTTTCGCAATGGTCACATACCATGCAAAGCAACCACAAATTATCCATTCTTCCTTTAGAGAGCATCTCTCAAGTGCGGCACTTTTCTGAGGACGGCGCACATTCAAGATTCGGTTGCGACAAAGAAATGTTCTGTTTTAAGAAAACGATATATATTTTTTAATCCGTTTAAAAGAAATTTGTAGGTTTAAACAGAATCTTTTCATTTTCAACATTCGTCTCTACCAGTGGTGTGTTTACTCAACTTCCATTTCACTGACCCCTTTATGATCTGAGTTTACGCGCTCCAGGTAACCCTCTTCTACGTATGGTTGCATTCGAAAGGATTTTCATCTAGATCCCTCAAGATATTAGATCGCGCAAAGAATTCTTCGAATGAGCGATGCACCGGGACCGCGGCGCTCATTCGGGGGCGGCACTTTTCATTTACTACGGTAATTGCTTACGGTAATTACCTATACTATACTATTTTTCGTTCGAATGGCACCAGAAGACCTTTCAGAAATTCATCGAGTCGTTTCCACTCGAAGACTGCTTCAACATGATTCATTTTGCAGCAGCCCTGTACTACATGGATGTCGAAAAGACTAAAGAGCTGTCTTAAGCTGCTTGCAAGCGGCGGAGCCATGTTCTGCACAGTTGGACCAGAAAAATCGTTTATTCCGAAGCTGGCTAAAATACTTCACACGAATGGAGTTGAACATGTCGAATTTGGCCTGGTGAAGAAGCTTTACACCGAGGTGGATCTTGTGGAAATTGCTCAAAGGAACAACTGGGAATACGAAGATTTATGGACGCTCCTAAAACGAAGTGAGAGGCTGGAACTTTAAAATGAACTTCCTTCGCCAAAAGCCAAAAATTCTCCAAAAACGAACTTATTCGCTGTTGCTTAGATTTGTTTCTTAAAAATGCAAATTAAGTAGAGAGACTTGACCTCACCGCAACAGCCAGAGTATCGCTGTTCATGGAGGCAATTTCGCTTTCTTTGTTTATGGCACGTGAACCTCTTTTGTGTCCACAGATTTGGAGGTTTGAAGCTTAGAGACCGTTAAAGAGCTGTCTTATTGCTGTTTACTAATAATTAATGGTAGAGCCGTGATGTTCTACACACTTTGACCAGGAAAATCGTTTTCCCCGAAGCTGGCCAGAAAACTAAAATCAGATCGCGTCGACCTTGCCTTGGCTCGGCGAAGAAAATTTACACCGGGATGGATGTTAAGAAAACATGAAAATTGCCCAAAGGGACAATTGGAAATACGAGGGATTATGAAGTAACTCGTTTAAGTTGCGCCTCATCGAGCTTGTCACAGTTTGGATATCTCTTTTAGCATAAGATATCACGATTTGTTATCTACCTAAACTTTCACTCAACAAAACGAGCACTGTGATTGATTGATTCTAGGTCACGTGCCCCAGATCAAATTCAAATGCATCCCGGCCGGGATACAATTGCGCAGTTGTTGCCCGCGGGCCGAATACAACAGCATGTTTTTGCTATATGATTGTCTAAATATATAACAAAGCACTTAATGTATGGTCTCTCGGAAAACTAGTCAGTTTTTTTCCCACGAGTCATAATGTTTCTCGAGACTAAGTCGAAGGAAACGTTTATTCGACTCATAAACGTCACAACTCTTGTACGTTAATACTTAAAGTTTAAAAATGCCAAAAAAAAGCATTTCGCGTGTTGGAGTCAAAATCTGGAGTAAGATACGTAATGAATACAAAAATTTGTCAAAGAAATCCTTCAAAGACAGAAACAAAAAGAGCTCTTTTAAATATTCTAGCGACTGAAGATTCGTATATTCGAGTCTAAGGAGGTTTTATGTCAAAATTCAAACACTGTAAAATTAATACAAATTGATCCTAGTTCTGCCATATTTCTTGTTCACTTAGAACTGAATTAAGTTACATTTAATTTAATTAAGTAGAAAATGGACACTCCTCGATCAGATTAGAATCTGCCATCTGCAGGTCAAAGGAATATTTTGTATGATTAACATAAGAAAAAAATAGTGTGTGGTGTGTGTGTGTGACAAGCGAGAAGTTTGAAACTACGTGCTTCCATCGCCTAATTAATTAATTAACAGTGGAACTTAAGGCCCGTACATACTATGCTCGGCAACTTTTGGCTTTTGGAGCAACTTTTTGCGGTTTTAGCAACGTAAACGCAATGTTAACCTTTCTAAGCAAACTTTGAGCAAAACATAGGTTTACAGCACATATCAAGCACGGAAAAGTCAGAGATGTCACAGAAAACTTCAATTTATGCAAATATCATTAATTATATCGCGTGTACCTTTTTTTGCGTACACAGATCTGGAGATTTGCAGCTTTGTAACCGTTAAAGATCTGTCTTATTATTGCTTACTATTAAGTAATGATAGAGCTCTGTTCTACAAGCTTTGGCCAGAAAAATCGTTTTTCTTTAAACGGATCGCGTCGACCTTGGCTCGGCGAAGAAAATATGATTTACACCGAGGAAGCTGTCTGGAAAATTACCCAAAGGAACAACTGGAATACGAAGAATTATTAAGGGTTCACTACAGTGTCGACTTCAGCAATTGATTTGATGAATTTTCAAAGGAAGTGGCGTGCTTCTCGACTTCTTAACCTATCTCGCCTTGAAAAAAAAACTCGTATCCCACATCCCGCCGCGATTTTAAGCTTCATCCCGCATCCCGCAAAACCTTTGTTGGACCCTCAAATAAGGAAGCCATTTTAAGCCTCAAATAATCCTTTCACTCGCAAGATCTCATTAGTAATTCTCCTTACTGTCTGCCATAAATTCTTGTGATGTTAGTTTGGAGAATTTGGTATTGGATCAAGAAGATCAATTAATAATCCCCTTGTCGATATTTTTCTTCATCCTCATCACTTGTCTGCTTAATATTGTATTGATATTGTAAGGAGAAATTCTGTCTCGGGCCTAGGGTAAAATATGGACTGAACTATTTTTTGGACTGTTTTTTTGGAACATTTTTTGGACCGTTTTTTTTGGGATCATTTTATCGGGGAGGGGGAAGTGCACCATTAGTACTTAGGGAGGGGTGGGGTGCAGTCTATCAGTACTGAGGAAGGGGTGGGAGGCAGAGTGATATTCCTTAAGGAGGGATGAGAGACGAACTATTGCCACGCAGGGAGGGGTGGGAGGTGGTTGTAATAGTAAACACTCCTGGCTAATGGAGCTGTTACTCGATCGTACAAGTTATTTAAACCGATTTTTCGACTGACTTTTTGCATGTCAAAATTTTTGCGCTGGGTCGCGGCGTTTCTTCATTTTCTTGTCATGCGAATGTGAAACTGCCACCTAAACACCGGATTTTAATTTGTATTGAAAATATCGCGTTTACGATCCTCCACCGCTGAGTTATGCGTGTGCCTTTTGAGTCGACTTGTGCACCATCAGTTGCTTCACGTTTTCCTTTGTGTATACAGTATGAAATTACTAAATTTATCTATCTTTCTTTGGTAAGTGATCTTATCAGACGAGATCACGGAATTTCCGGTCCTTAGATTTTAACTCAGCAAAAACACTGCTGTACATGCAATTATGGGAAAGCGCAAATATCGATTTTATCTGTTTCGCAAACAAAGGAGTTAATCACCGACACCAGAAATCGCGACCAGGTATTCCTCGCGACTCCCCTATAGGTTTGTTTTCCAACAATTATAACAATTATAGTCCAGTGTTTACGTGCCAGTTTCGCATTCGCATGACAAAAAATTAAAGAAACGCTACGGCCCAGCGCCAAAATTTTTACACGCAACTAGTTAGTCGAAAAACCGCTCAAAATAATTTGCGTGATTCAATGAACACTCCATAAATAAGAAGCAGTTACTAATTCATCAACCTCCCACCTTTCCCTGCGTACTTATAGTTCGTCCTCCACCCCACCCTAAGTAAAAATAGTCTGCCTACCATCCCTCTCTGACTACTGATAGACTGCATCCCACCCCTCCCTAAGTACTAATGGTCTGCCTTCCCCCCCGATAAAATGGTTCAAAAATAGTCCAAAAAAATAGTCTTAGGGTCTAACGGTCCAGTCCGGTCCATATTTTACCCTTTGTCCTGCTCTCTAGCTGTTGCCTAATGAAAACGACAGTTGTCAGCTCAATATTTGGCCAAAATTTTTTTTATGTAACCTTAAATCAGGAAATCTCATTAATAACTGATAACATTATACTTTTTTAAATTTCTTAATTAGAGTTTTTTAGACCCAATGTACGAAATTATCTAAAAGCTATTGGCAAGAAAACACAAAAGGTAAGATATCTAAACATTATTACAAAACATAGGCATGCTATGCATGCAAGAGTGATTTTTTTTTGGTGGGTGGATTAAGTGAAACACTAAGTGATGTCTACATTCTTACTAAAGGAAAGAAGAGTATTAACGCGGAAAAGAACGAAAATGTCGAATCAACTCACACACAGGTATTTTGTGGTAGATTGTGTGTGTTGTTTGAATAGCTGTAACCAAAAATAAACTGTATTGGTGCCACGGATACCTGTTAGTACGAAATACAGACTGCAGACTTTCCGTTGAAGAACTGCTTGAATCAAAATGTTTGGTGCAATTCATCAACACCTCAGACAATATTTGATTTAAAATTGTTCCCCTCACTCTCGTCGTGAAGGAACAATAACCATGATCGTGCTACGGTGCACAGGACTGCATTTTCTCTCGAACAACTATCCACCATTTCGCAGCATGAGTAACACGTTTACTATAGGTAAACTGATATCTTTCATCTGTCCAGTAGTATCGCATTTCTCATGAAGGGCGGTTAAATACATGTTAAAAACACAAAAAAGCCAACATTTCTCATTCTAAAAGATGATTCCATTTTGCGAACCGCTCTCTCCGAATCTCCCATTACT